CTGATTTATCACTTGGAGTCATTTATCATTCTTGCATCAGAACCATCTTTCTCAGGTACATAGCATAAAAACAATAGCACCCTAATTCAAACTTTAAGTTAAAACAAATCTTATTATTGAAAGCATTTAATTAAATATAAATATAAATACAGATGGCATCTGAAATCAGATTTGTGAAGCTCTGCTAAAAATCCTACGGTAACTCCTCATTTGTTAGCAATATCATTAAGGTATGGCAGAAAGAACTTAAATGCAAATTTCAAGACAACATTCTAAACCAGAGTCACAAAGTAATGGGGCAGGAAGGAAGAATTAATATTTCAATTTAAATTAGTCATATCCTGCACGTAGTCACATATAATTAAAGAGTACAATATTTTCCCTATATGCTCAAATGCCTAACCATATAAATCTATGTCAATTGATAATACCTGCATCACTATGACATGTGATTGCCATGTATTCTGCCTTAAAAATGAACAATTGTTTGTAAATTGGGTAGATTTTTTAAATAATGAATTTCTAATGTTTTATGCTCATTGGAGTTGGGTCACTAATAAATTCAAAGGCATTAATAAATATATAATCACTGTGTATCATACATGGATTATCACCTAGCCTATGGAAGTGGTTTGAGGTTATTTGACTGAACTATGTAATATCACGTATAAATATTTTGCTCAACAGGGAACTTGAAAACACATGACATAATCTATATTCCTGAAAGGGAAGTTTGCCCCTTGCTATGCTAAGCTTTTGGTGCAATGTTGAACTCTGCCGATAAACTTACAAAGAAAAACTCTTTTTTTTTTCAAACAATACTTTGTAGAAAACATTTTTTTAACAAATTACAAACTGAAAATTAAAGAAACAGCAATCTTATTTTGGATTTTCACACATAATCTGTGGTTCTTCCTTCAACCATAGGTATTCTACTCACATACAGAATATTTGAAAGGATTTTTTGTCACAACACAATTGTCATGACAGAGGTGTTGGAAACACCAATGATTTATTTATTTATTTTACTTAGTCCTAGGAGACTTCCTACCAATTTTGACTTCTGATTGATTTTAACCATTCAGATTCTAAAATTACGGTAATAGTAAGGGCAGGATGCAATCAGTTGTAATTCCCCAGATGAAAACCTTCTCAAATATAGCTTATTTTATTCCATAAATCATAGGCTTGTAGACCCAGGGCTAATTCAATAAATCAGATAAAATGAATGGCCAATTCAAAGGACCTGAGCCAGGCCCTTTGTGATTTTCAGCAGTTACTTTCTTCCAAAAAGCTGAGTCTCTTTCAGCTTTTGTGCATCTGAAGTACTAGGAAAAAACTTTAAAGAACCTTAAGAAAGAGAAGGAAAGCAATGAGCTTCTGTGTTAAAATCTTAGGTATTTTTGTTTTAAGTAGCTTTGTTAATGCATCGTCTGCCAAGAACACCTGTTAGCCATTGAATTTAGTCCAGCTGCAGCTGGAGCTGAATGTGTGTGCAGAGAACTGGCAGCCTGCTAGGATGGTCTTACATTGTGCTTCCTTTTTCCATGCCTTTCTTTCAGACTTATCCCCTCCTCCCTGTAGATGGTTACAAGAGACTATGTGAGAAAGAGATTAGGGACCAGGAGCAGATTGGCATCCTGTGGTGGATAGTGAATAGTACAAACCGTGGAGCTTTCCTGGATGACAACTACCTGCAAGCGCACGGCTAGCCTGTGGTATGCACCCTCCTAGGCACGTCTTAAAGCAGGATTAGGGAGTGGGAACTCCAACTTTCCCACTCAGCATGCAGGACTTTGAAAAGCTTCCAAAATGGAGCCCTTTTAAAAAGAAAAAAAGGAAACCCCAAGAGTCAAATCTTTTAAAAAGCATTTACTCCTTTTCCCTAACTTTCTAATGTGCAACTCCTACTAAACCAGTCCCATGGGCCAGCTTAAATCATAAGGCCTACTCACAAAGACCAAAAGGCATCCTTGCATAAAAATATTAAGGCCACCAAGGAACAGGAACTGTAATTTATATTTCATTCACTATATATGAAAAACTGAATAATTACTGAAAAAGATCAACTCTAATTTCTATTTTATTATATTTTTCTATTTATAAACATATAAATAGAAAATATAAATTTTATATAAGTTTATATAACATATAAGCATATAAATCTTGAATAGATTCTACTAATTTTAGACTGACTTACAAATTAGCTTTTCCTCCTCTTAAGAGTGAGCATATAAATAAAAACTATATGAGTTAACACTTTCAAAGCAGAGCAAAAGCATAACTGAGAATAGCCAATTCTTTTTTTTGTAGTAATACACTTATCTCCAAAAAGAAATAAATATGTAGAAAGAAAAAATATGGAAAGGGGGGGAGAAATTTATTTCATCCTTCTTAAGTATTTTTTCCCCTTATTCTACAAGCCTCCAAGAATAGATTTAGGGACTGTTCTATTAAGAAAAGGAATAGATTTATCAAAACATGCATTGTTCTAGATTTAGATTTTTTAGATTTTAGATTTTATTGGAAATTTATATGCCGCCCTTTTCCCTGAGGGGACTCAGGGCGGCTTACAACAATGAAGGGANAATGCCCCAACACTGGAAGTCTTTAAGATGTTGGATAGCCATCTGTCTGAAACGGTATAGGGTTTCCTGCCTAGGCAGGGGGTTGGACTAGAAGACCTTCAAGGTCCCTTCCAACTCTGCTATTGTATTGTATTGTAATCCAACCAGTGTCATAAACTTTAAAAGAGCTGATTTTAAGGAACTCAGAGAAAGCCTAAGAAAAACTCCATGGATAAAAACCCTAACTCAAATCCAACTCAAGAAACGTGGGAAACACTGAAAAATATGATCATAAAAGGCCAGTCCAGCACAATACCACTGAAAAAGAAGAAAAAAGAAATCGAAGAAGAAACCAGCATGGCTGCACAAATACCTCTCTAATAAAGTGAAAGACAAAAAGGATAAGTACAAAAAATGGAAAAAGGAACACATAACTAAGGCAGAATATCACCAGATAGCCTGAATCTGCAAAGATGAAGTCAGGAAAGCAAAGGCTCAGAATGAACAAAGACTTGCAACAAAAGTCAAAGACAATAAAAAAGTTTCAACATATAAATAACAGGCAAGGGAAATTTTTAAACAGTGTTCTACATATTAGTGTTCAAACTGACATGGAATTTATTGGCTAAAAATAGATTCCTAGGTTGGTTCGCTAAGAATAAAACTATTTTTCAACTTAAAAAATAAGAAGGGCCTACTCTAGAGCAACATTTGAGTTATTGAACTCAATGGTGAAATAGAGGTAGTCCTCGAGTTATGAATATAATGGGGCCTGTCAATTTAATTCGTAACCTGAGGATTCGTAAGACTGATTCACGTACCTTAAATGTGATCACTCCCGGCTTTCGCCCACGCATTCGCTAATCGAATGCACAGGTCATTAAGCACACTTGAAGGTGGGATGAAATCCTCCCGGTTTGGCCCGGTTCGGCCAAACTGGTAGGGACTATTGTCCTTGGTTCTGTGAACTGGTAGTAAAAAGAAAGCTTCCGATGATCATGCGGCTCAGCTGTGAGCCACGTGATCGTAGGAAGCTTTTTTCCGCTTTTTAAAGCATTTTCCCCCTGCTGGTTTGCCCGAATCGGGGTCTCATCCAGGCCTCCATTTGCAGAGAAGAAAGGCCTAATATACTGTTATATCACGCTACTGATCTGGCATGATGTTGAGGTACTTTAGGACTCCATTCTCTGCAAACGCACTGAAGGCCTGAAGCACCAAACAGGTCAAGAAACTGAAGGCTCCCTAGATCTTTGCAAGGTAAGTATCCACATGCCTAGTTCCTGTAGAGACCCAGCCGGGGGGAGGGGGGTGGGAAATAAGCAGGGTAAATGTTGCAGAGCCTCTGTGGTCGTTCGTAAGTGTGAATGACTGCCGTCGTGCTGCAACATTCGTAATTTCAGAACTGTGTCGTAAATACTCCAGAGGGGTTTAGGTCGTAACTTTGAACGGTCACTAAGTGAACTGTCATAACTTGAGAGCTTCCACCACTTGCCCTATTATAACAGAACCTGTGCTGTCCCGCTCTCTCATACACACACTCCACGGGTGTAAGGAGTTTTTATTAAGGCTTCCAAGCCTGAATTAGTGTAGAATTATAGAAAGAATAGCTCACTGGGATCTGAACCACAGATCGCCATATTTCCTCCTGGGCTCTGTGTACTGCATACAGTTTTTCCTCTGGTACATGTTATATGCAGAACTGCTAAGTTTATAACTAAAGCAGTGGTCCTAAGAACCCAATATATTGAACAAATTGGGTTAACCTGTAAGGAAAATTCATTTAGCTGATTGCTGACTCCTTGTTTACCACATATGTATTTTATCACTCTATTTCCTCCTACCTATTTTATTCTGAAATTTGACTATGTACTATATTTTATTGATAAGGTTGCAAGATTAATCAATTAATAAACTACTACTACTTATGAAGGCTATAATAGCTACAGAAAATTTCAATAATACTATATTTCTGTCATAACATAATGTTTAAGCATAATTGGGAAGTAGATATGTTTGTGGAAGTCCCATTACTTTTTGGGATTGGAATGTTTGTTTAAATGGATATCTAGACACCCAATAGGTCCTGCTGCTTTGCCAGTTTTCTTTGCATTTTTTCCAACCCAATGAAACATTTGAGAAAAATCAGGTAAAAGGACTCAGCAGGATAGCTGTCTGAAAATAAGAGAATGGGCCCACTTTTTGTGGTAGAGGAAAAGCTAGCAAAAGAAAATGAGTCTGAAAAAGGGACTGGGATATAGAGAAAAAAATACAAGAAATATTTCCCCACTGCATCTCTATCATATCGTAGTCCCAAAGGTGCTTTTTCCAAGAGGCAACTGGACTTTCTGGTTTTTCTTTGAAGAAGTTTCACTTCTCATCCAAGAATAAGAAGCGAAACGTGCTCAAAGAAAAACCAGAAAGTCCAGTTGCCTCTTCAAAAAGCACCTTTGGGATAACCATGACCTGGATGACTGAGAAGCTCCATAGACATCTATCATATCATAGTTCCACAGTGAATTACAACCTTTATGATTCCTCCATTCTAAACCCTTTTCCATCCTCCTCCTTGGTCATGTAACCCAGAATGGAGCTGTTATAAAGGAAATGAAAAAAAAATGTAGAATCCATGCTCTGCACTTTAAATCTGCATGTTATACCAATCTTTTCAATTACCGAATTGGAGAAAGTGCCATCAGCCATACAATTCAAAATCAGGGTCCTTACCTGTTCAAATCCAGGTTCGTTGTGATAGGGATTCTCAGTCATTAAAGACTGTATAGATATAAGCACCGAAGAAATGCTCTGTGCAGGACTCCAAGCTGGACCAGTCCATGTGCTGCCAGATTGCAAGAAACAGGAGCTTATTTTCATACATGCAAGCAAAAAATAATTTCTTAATGGACATAGATGGACTTCAACATATTTTGATGTAGCTTGTCACATTCATCATGATTCCAGTTTTAAAAAAAAGATGCATCTAGTAGGGAGAAATAGTCCTTGGGATTCAAGGGCAAAAAGGCACTTCAGAGCATTCAGGGACACATAGGTAATACCTGTCTACAAGTCTTTGAGTAGTTGTGCCTTTTCCTGGGATCATGTGGCCCCTGCAAAAGACACCTAACAGATGCTGGGAAAAATGCAGCTTTATTAAAGAGTTTCAGACGAGTGCCATGTGAATATTCCAAGAGGCTCAACCACCCTTTTCTGCTTGAATCAAAAGCATTCTATCTAGGTCCATAAAATGGTATGTCAAACTGAAGATTATTGTCAAGACTTAGAAACAAAGAAGAAGAAAATGTTACATTCATGAAATGTCTAGCTGTATGAAGAAAAACTCCAATGTTATAAAGATCACTATTCATTGTCCAGCAATAATATTCATTGCCCAGGAATAATAAACTTACATTCATCTCTGGGGAAGAGAAGGTATTTTTTGGTCAGGGCTACATTGTTTCAGGTTACTATGTTGATTATTGCAGGCCTATAAGTAAGTTGTCCAAAGTCAGCAACAGGTAAGGCTAGACCTTAATGTGAATTATGCCTCCTGTTCTCTGATTTTTCTGAGCTGTTCAGGAAGGAAACACTACCAGAGATCTGAACTTACTGCAGGAGTCTTCAGAAATTATTTCTAGGTCCATATTCAATCCTAGGATTGCAGGTTATCCACCCACTGTAGAGATTAGAATGGATTTGCAATTTCACAAAAGCACTATTGTACATGCAAATGTTCAGAGCAGTCATAAAATTCAGCATCTTAAGAACTCTTACCTAGAATGCTTTTAGGTCTTATGATAATACAGAAGCTGGCTGGGGTACCAAAGAAAATACCCAATGGTCAGCACACAAGTCTCCAAAGCCCTACTTAGGTCCTTGGCTTCCTGTATTGGCACCATGGAAGACTGATGAGAAGTTAGTGGTGTGGACTTTTTCCCTTTGTATGTGTAAGAAATAGCTGTGCAGGAAGGGTTATTTAGTAGCAGAGACAATTCGTCTACATATTGCACATTCCCCCACAGGTGCATTTGGAAGAAATTACTTAGCAAGCTTTGTGGATTCCAGAATTATATTGTTAATCACATCTTATCTCTATTCTTATTTATCACCACTAAGATAAAAGAGGACATCAGCTCCCTCATCTAACATCTACCAAGGGGAAGGGGAACAATAGATGCTAAGAACCAGGGTGGATAAAAATTGATGATTTAATATTTTTTTAAAAAAAATCAGATTTAAAAAAATTTAAATCAATTTTTTTTAATTGAAACCTGATTTTTTTTTAATCAAATGTATTTTAATAAAATGCATTTGGAGTAAAAAACTATCTAAAGATAGTTTTCTATTTAAGATACATGAATAATTTAGTTTATTCAGCATGAAATGGAGCTTAGTTATGTAGCATGAGGCTGTATATTCTGCAATATTGGGACTGTCCGTGAGTCAACAGTGGGTCAGAGGAGGAGCTGCTGCGGAACAGAGATGACAGTTGCTATTTAAAAATTATGATTTAAATTGAGTTGATTTAAATCAAGCCTTTTTACTAGTGATTGAAATCATGATTTTAATCAACTTGATTTAAATCAAATCCACCCTGCTAAGAGCAATGTTCTCATAAACAAAAGGATTTCTTATTTGGAGTCTCAAGGTATTCACCAGAAAAATCATCACACCATCTCCAGACGCTGTCTATTAGAGCAGTGTTTTTCAACCACTGTGCCACGGCACACTAGTGTGCCGTGACATAGTGTAAGGTGTGCCGTGGGAAAAACACCCGCCGGGTGTTTTTGCCTCGGGACATCTCTGTATCCCGAAAGTTGCTTTCGGGACACAGGGATGCCTCTATTAAGTCCCTGCGGCCCCGCGTTTACTTTAAAAACGCGGGGACCGCCGGGAGGTAGCGCACGCAGGGACGTCACTGACGTCCCATGCGTGCACCCATAGCGGTGGGTCTGACTGGCTGGCCCCGAAAGCGCCTCCCCAGGGAGCAGCCACTGACCTCTTCCTCGCCCGCGGAGTCGCAGGAGGAGGCCGAGCAGAAACGCCCCCACGTCGCGCCACCCCCGCAGGAGACAAGCGGCAGGAGACAAGCTTGCTGCGGGCCGGCGGCGGACAAACAAAGCTGCCGCCGCCCGCCTGCTCACCCATCTCCAGCCAGTTACAGTGCTCGGCGAGTTGGGTCGTTGGCGCCGTCTCCCGCAGAAAGCAGCGGTTCCTGCCCCCGCCCTCCAGTCCCTCTTTCCCGCCAGGACTCCGCTCCGAAGCCAAGCGGGAGGCGCCGGGCACCTACCGGGCAGGGCGAGCAACTAGGATTCGGCGGGTAGAGGGAGCAGACGGCGGCAGCTCTCGGCTGGATGAGCGGCAGGATGACCCGTGCCAGCCGACCTTTTCGTTGGCAGGACTCCGTGGCGCATCGGGGGAGGCGATTCCTGTCTCCTCGCCCCGCTGGCTCTCTCCTCCACGCCGGCCAACTACCGTGTGGCTCGGGCGGGGCGTGCAGCCCGCCCGCCCTCCGCTGGGGCACAGGGGCCCTCTCGCTGGCTTCAAGCCGAAGATGCCCAGCCCGGCCGACGGCTCCAGGGAATAAACGAAGGACCACTACCAGGGCCAAAGCGCCCCTCTCGTCCTCAAACGTCCAAGGGGGCTGCAGTCCCGCGGGGCCAGGGTCCGCCAGGAGCCCTGCGCGGCTGAGAAAGGAGTCTCGTCCACCGCCCGGCTCAGCCCAACCCGCCCCTTCCAACGGCCCGACCCGAAGAAAGGGAGGGAAGCGGGCTGGGGGGGGTAGAGGCTGACCACTGGCGGTGTGGGTAGCGGAAGAGAGATCCCCGTTTGGACAAAGGAGGTCCTCACCTTCGCTCTCCAAGACTGCCCCGGGCAGCCGCCTGCCCATCACCAATGCTCCCTTCCCTGGAGGAGGGGAACCCAGAGGCAGCCCGGGCTGCCAGGGGCTTTCTCAGGATGGGACAAAGGTGCCGCTCCCCTTCCCTGATTGGAGTGATCAGCTTCGTGGATGTCACTTTGGCCCTTCCTGCAGCCCCTTCAACCTTCACTGGGCAGGGAAAGATCCTTCCAAGCTGACCGGGCAGGGGACCCTCCCCTCCCCCCCCCCCACTGCTTGGGTCCTTTCTGTCTTCTAGGGCCTAGAATTACTTTATATATAGTTAATATAGGCACAGAGTTAATTTTTTTTAACATTTTCTAATGGTGGTGTGCCTCGTGATTTTTTTCATGAAAAAAGTGTGCCTTTGCACAAAAAAGGTTGAAAGACACTGTATTAGAGACCCTGTCTTTCCTAAAAAATATACTTAGTAGGAGTTCCAGTATCTAAAGTTATGATCAAGTTCCTGATGTGTCACCAAACCAACCCAAAGTCCGGCCTTTCCCAGCCACCGGAGAGGCAGCTGCCTTTGGAGTCAGAGATTAGTGAGGAGAAAGAACACCTGGGGCCTGTTCCAGATGAACGTATGCGCAGAGAACATAGGAGAGGTGAACAACGGAGGACAAGGAGTCAACTCTGGAAGCAAAACAAACGTGGATGCTGAATGGCCCTTCCGTAGCTGGGGAATAAATAGAAGGAAAGGGGAGTGGTGGTCGTAGCAAACAACTGTTCACATTTCTGGAGATTTTGCTCATTGTGTTTCGTGCGACAAAGACTGCCTTGCCAGAACTGAGGTTTGTTTATTTGAACTGACTTAATTTGCAGCCTTTTGACTGGGCGCTCCCGCCTTGCAATTATTGTAACAAGATGATAAGGCTCAATTTGCTGATTGGGACAATTAGCCGCACCTCCTGGCATCCGGGTGGGGTGTGCAGCAGCCTTGGGCACTGGGCCAGGAGGAACGGTGGTTGCTGTGCAGGGAAACCAGCCATGGAGAACCTCTAGCCAAGGGGCCTTTGAAGTAGCAAAGGGGGCAAAGAGTGGGAAGGAGGACAGCTCCCTCCGTCCCAACCAGGCCTTCCAGGGCTCCCTTGCCCTTTGCAGGATGGGGAAAGGAGGGCCTGTCCCTGCCCAAGCCAGACCACCGCTAGAGGCGACATGTGCCTGGCACGCCCTCTCGGGCAGAGCGTAGCACCAACAGCGGCAGTAGCAGTAGCCCAGCCAGTGATTGCTCCCACCGTAAATTGCATTTGTAGCTGTGCATAGAACTCTATAGTAATAAAGCTTCTCTTGTTCAAGGTCTTATTGAAGAGGAACAAGCCGACCTGGCATGCATTACTGAGACCTGGCTGACCACGGAAAAAAAAAGGGGGGGGAATGTTTCCCCTCTCAGAGATGTGTCCAGCTGGGTTTCAGGTTTGGCACCAGGCAAGAGCCCAGGGCAGGGGAGGTAGGGTGGCAGTCATTATCAGAACATCTTTATTGGCATTCAGGGGCTTTGCTCCACAAATCTCTAGTTGTGAGTCCCTGTTCCTGAAGTTGGGATCAGATGGGATTGTTAGTAGTATACCGGCCTCTCTGCTGTGTAGCAACCTCCTGTCTAAGCTGCTGGAGACCATCTCGGGGCTGGCGGTGGAGTTCCCCAGACTAATTGTTCTGGGGGACTTCAATCTGCCATCCCTGGGTGTGACCTCAGAAGCAGCCCAGGAGTTCATGGCAACCATGGCAGCTATGGACCTATCTCAAATTATAACTGGCCGGACTCAGGACAGTGGTCACATGCCAGACTTGATTTTTTTTTATCAGAGCAATGGCAACATGACCTGGTGGTGGATGTAAGATTATCCTCTTTGTCATGGTCAGATTGTGCCCTGGTGTCCCCTTGAGGCTCTCATACGCTGTCTCCCTCCACAGGGAGGCTGGACCCATTTGGATGGTCCGCCCCCAGTGACTGATGAACCCTGATGGGTTCCAGAGGACACTGGGGGATGTCCTGGAGGTGTTGACCACCTGTCAATTAGGTCTTTGTCCCTCCTGGATGGTGAAAGCCTCCAGGATGGTGACTAGGGGGTGTGTCCAGACAGTGATTACTACATCATTAGAGGAGGGGACATTTTTAAGCAAGACCTGGTTCGCCCCCTCCTTAAAAAAACATCACTGGATCCCACGTGCCTGGACAATTTTCGCTCAGTTTCCAACCTTCCATTGTTTTTTTTTTTTTTTTTTTTTGACAGAACTTTTTTATTTTTCTTTTAAGAAAAAAAACACAAATATGTCATCATTTGTCAATCATTAAGACATTGAAGTACAATTTTTTGTGTGTGTGTGCCCCTCCCTCCCTCCACCCCCCCACCCCCCCCCCCTCTTCCCCCCCCCCCCCCCCGACTTCCCAGAACCCGTACACGGTATGGATTTTTAACTAACACAGTCTAAAATCTAGTCAGTATTCAGGCCTGGATATGGGATGGAGACGTCATTGGTTGTGCTTGTCGATGATCTCTGGCAAGAGTGAGATGGGGATAGTGCAACTCCGTGTTGTGCGCCAGTTGCAGCCTTTCCTGGACCAGGATTCCCTGTGCTCAGTCATTCAGTCTCTAGTTATCCCATGACTGGACTATTGTAATGAAGCTACAGCTGGTGTAGAGTGAGGCAGTGCGGGTAGTTTTGGGGAGCCCAAGAATGGCCCCTATAACACCACTGCTCCACAAGCTGAACTGGTTACCAGTCTGCTTCCGGGTGCAATTCAAGATGTTGGTGATCACCTTTAAAGCCCTTCATGGCATGGGTTCATGTTACTTGAGGGACCATCTTGCCCCACTGGGAGTGGCCCGTACCACTCGTGCTGGCAGAGGAGGCATGCTGTGGGTCCCGTCAGCATGATTATTCCATCGGGCAGTGTCCAGGAGGAGGGCCTTCTCTGCTGTTGCTCCTGCCCACTGGAACATCTTGCCCTCCGATGTGAGGTTGGCCCCAACCCTTTTCATAAGGGTCTAAAGATGTCTCTTTGCCAGTCAGATTGGGGCACCAGTGGGGGAACACCACAATGAAGGTGGTTGATTGAGTAATAACCTCCCCCCACTCCCTCCCCCCAAGGTTTAATGTTTTATGTTTTAAATAAGATGTAGCTGTAACCTGCCCAGAGTTACCCTATGGTAAGATGGGTGGCAATAAATTGTATAAATAAATAAATAAATAAGAAATACTCAAATGAGGGTTTAGTTCTTCACCCAAACGATTGTTTGGGACACAGCTGTTAAAAAGCCCACCCTGAGTCAGTATTAAAAGGAGTGGCACAGTGGAGAGATATAGAACTAAACCCTCATTTGAGGGTTTAGCCATACTCCGCCCGGCTACAACGCAGCCTGGCCATGGCATAAGTCACCGCTGGCTGGGCTGCTGCTGCACTCTTCCCAGGGAGGCGTGCCAGGTGCATGTCATCTCCTCCAGTGGGCTGGCTCAGGTAGGGATGGGGTGTACCCTCTTCTCCTCATCTTGTGAATGGTAAGGGAGCCCCAGAGGGCTGGGCTGGGAGGGACGGAGCTGCCCTGCTTCCCACCCCTTTGTCCCATTTGCTGCTTCAAAGGGCCCTTGGCTGGAGGAGCTGCACAGCACCAAAGGCCACTGCCCGCCTCACTCGGCTGCCCGCCTCACTCGGCTGCCCGCCTCACTCAGCTGCCAGGAGGTGTAGCTAATTGTCCCACACAGCGAATCACCCGGAACAAGGGGGCAGGGGAGGAGTGCTGGCAGAGGGCCAGCCAAAGATGAAAGCCCGCGGTGGGTCAGCTGCAGTGGGGGGCCTAGAATGAAGTGAGTCCAGCAATGTGGCCTCTGCCAATTGTCCTACACCCTTACAGGTAGCCCTCATTCAGCAACCATTCAAAGTTACAATGGTGCTGAATGAGACTTATGACCAGTTGCTGAAGTCACAGTGTGCCTATGGTCACATAATCGTGATTTGGGCACTTGGCAACAAGCTCAAAATCACAACATCACAGCATCTTGCAGTCACATGATCACCATCTGAAACCTTCACTGCTGGCTTCTCACAAGCAAAGGCAATGTAAGCCACCAGGACATCACAAATGGTGATCAATGACTTCACACCTAACAACCATGCAGGATTCACCTAACAATAGCAAATGGAACTGCTGTTGTGTGGTCATGTGATGTGATGCTTTACGACCATGTTGCTTAGCAATGGAGTTCCCAGTTCCTATTACAGTCTTTCAACAGGGACTACCTGTAATTACCTTTAGAACATTCAAACCCTTCCTCTCCAGATATACCTTTCAAACAAGCAAGTTTGTTTGGCATAATATTGCATAGAAGGGATCACAAACTTAATGGTTACAAGAATGACCACTTTTGATTCCTGGTCTCATTTTTGTCAAGGACACTGATATACTATCTATATTCAACTAGTTATTTTTTACTTTATAAAAAATAAGAAAAAGAAAAAATCAGAATTGAAGTGTCCCTAGGAACTATAATACAAAGAAGAGGCTTCTTCAGCCTTTCTCCTCTACTGGCCCCACACAACCCCAAGTAACTGGAATGAAACTGGATGGCACACAGGAACAATCTTTCAAAGGAATTGCTTTGTGGTTTCAAAAAATGCAATACATGTGCATTCTTTCTAAATGTATACACCAGTGGTGGGATTCAGCCAGTTCGCACCTATTTGGGAGAACCAGTTGTTAACTTTCTAAGCAATTCGGAGAACTGGTTGTTGGAAGAAATCTTAGTTTTTTTTTCCACTTACAGGGATAATCCTGTAAGAAAGGCAGGAAGGAAACATTCTGATGTTGTTTCTAGCCTAATCTTTATTGCCCTACTTACAGAAACTGCCTGTCCAGTTAAACCTCATTACATTGTAACAGCTAAGGCGAAGCACCCGCCAACGTGAGTGATGTTGAGTTGGCCACACCCACCCTGTCACATGACCACCGAGCCATACCTACCCAGCTGGTCATTAGGGCAGAGAACCGGTTGCTAAATTATTTGAATCCCACCACTGGTATACACCAAACAGATGCACACACTTTCACATACCTACAGAAAAGTTACATAGTATTCATTGCTGAGTTGAAAAAAAAAAAGCTTGGAAAGTTAAAAGAAGCCCCACTGACCACATGCACAGCTGTCTCTAGCATAGAACTGGGGTGGGTGGGGGGTGTATTCCTTCTTTTAATGCTCAAAACCTAAAAGGTTGTAGAGAAAAAGTATGGGAATTTAATTGTCCCAAGCTTGCCTCTATATTACAAGCTGGTAAACAGCAGATTCTGGCCATGCATGGCTTGCAGTTATGTGGCTGGTTTTGCCCTAGTGTGTTGTAGATCTCATGCTTTCCCTCTGCCCTATTCTGTTGAAAAACACACATCCACATATGATCCTTGAGAAAAGAACTACATATAAGCCTTTCCAAAGCACCCACCTGGGCTTCCCCTGCAAAAGAGCTTGAGCTGAGCTATTCCTTACCCTAGAATACTGAGGCAGACCTTCCCATTTCGGTAGAAGTTAGGGTTAAACCTCACTGTATTATTCCCAGTTGTCATCAGTTTGACCCGCGGCGGATGGATAGGATAATCTGGAGGACAGCGAAACAGGAACAAGAAGAAACCCCCTTCGTAAGGCGTGTCAAAGGGACCTGTGATCAACGCATGAATCTGCAAGAGAAAAGCCCAGGCTTGCGCAAACACGTCTGACTGGAAGCATCACTGACAGCACCTGCTCAAATGCCAATGGTTGCTGACATGAGTCAGGGGAGACAGAGAAGGCTTTCTCCAAGCAGTTAGAGAAAACTCAAACACTTCTTAAACAGTTCAAGACTCAGAATTCATTCCTACCTATTGAGTTGAAGCAGTAAAAATATTACTGCTTTGCAATGCAGTGGAAAACTCCATAATAGTTTCTCCTGTTTTATTTTTCTTAGAGATAATCCTTGACTTACGATCATTTGTTCAGCAACAGTTTGAAGTTACAGCAGCACTATATGAAGGGACTTGTGAACCATGCCAGAAGTTACGGCTGTTGCTGTGACCCCATGGTTACATGATCAAAACTGGGGCACTCCCACTAGAGCAGGGAGGCAAGGAAAGTTACAGGCCCTTTCCAGCTTGGTGGACTGATGCGTGTGAGTGGCAGGCACACACATGAGTACATGCAACTCCATTTGCACGAGCAGTGGGCACGCCACTCATGCAAATAGAGCTTCATACATGAGCATGAGTGCCCATTGCTTGTGCAAGTGGAGTTGCACACAAACTCACCCACCACTTGTGCGGCCCTGGGTTTGGGGATCCCTGCTCTAAGGAGGTACATCTGGTGAGACCCAGAAAAGGGCCTTCTCTGTGGTGGCTCCCTCTCTTTGGAATATCATCCCTGTAGAAATTAGACTGGTCCCCACTTTGACAATCTTTGGTAAGGCCCTGAAGACTTGGGTCTGCGAACAGGCCTGGGGAACCCAGAGTAGGATGGAGCCAATCAAGTGACTCATTTGACTGTGTGTTCTTACAAAGGGGGTGGGGGCTATTTATTTTTTACACTGGGTTTTTACTGTTTGTAAGCAGCCCAGAGTCACTGTGAGTGGGTAGTCATATAAATCTTCCAAATAAATAAATACATAAACTTGGCAGCCCACCTATACTTATGACCAAAAGGGTGCTGCAACTTCCCCACCTATTGTTCTCCTCCATCTATGCCCTTTTGGCCCTCTGCTACCCTGCCCTCTGCTGTCCCTGCTGACCTTTGCCATCTTCTTGTTCTCACTGCTGGGCCAGGCTGGGACTGGCTTCATGTTGCAAAAAAAAGGGGGGGGGAGCCTTCTTCCTTCTTTGCAGCGTGAAGCCAGTCCCAGCCTAGCCAGGCGGTCAAGCCTTAACAGCAGTAGAAGCAAGAAGATGGTGAAAGTGAGATGGGGCAGCAAACCGTAGGGTGGCAGGGGTCTCAGAGTGCAGGTTGGCAAAGGTAACTGAGACTGGGCTGGGGTGGCTGTGGTTTTCTGGGGCATGGCATGCATCTGCAGAGCCATGCAGTTCTGGGGTTGCTTGCCACCCTGCAAGACAGAGTGCAGGGTGACCAAAAGGGCCGAGATGGAGAATAGGTGGGTATGGGGAGTGGAGGCAGTACCTTACTTTACCGAGACTCAGGAGTGGGAGGGACCAAGCCTGTAATGGTTTGGATTGGGGTGGGTCCTTAGCTAACAACGGTTAATGACAGTAATGGGAACTACTGGGATTGCGGTTGCTTAGCAATGCGGTCAAATGACATCTCACTTTACTATTGTACTGCTTAGTGACTGAAATTCCGGTCCCAAGTGTGGTTGTAAGTCAAGGACTACCTATAATTAAACTGAACCAGTGGTTCTGAATGTGTAGTTGCCTCACAGGGCTGTTTACTAGACCCTAACTAAGACCTGATTTTGAAGTGTGAAAGGCACATTTCCATCCCTGCTGGGTAATACAGCAAGTGTTTACCATAAAGAAGCAATGTTTTAATTCTTGTTAAGTTGCAGTGAAAGACTTTCCAAATGAAAAATGGAACAATAGTCTTTTAAAGTAAGTAAACATTTACTTAAATTCCAAATTTGCTTGAAAATCTGAATGCTTACTAAAATGTCACAAACTCATGTGTATGGGGGGTTCTCAATGAGAATTTCAATTTCCAAGAGAGCCTTGGGGCTATATATCAACCTTGGATTGACACACTATTCAGCTGAAATATCAATTATTGTGACTGACTGGTGAAGTGATCATTATTTGACTCTAACTAAATGTACTAAAAATATCGTGTGAATGACAACTTTAAAAAATATAGTTAGCAAAGCTTAGACTGAGGCTTGCTGCCTGCCCTTAGTCCTACAGCATTTAGGAGAAATATCCAGAGATACAGCAAAAAAATTTTTTTACTAGCCATCTGTTATAACTGCAGGCATGCCCAGACAAAAATACTGTCACCAGAGCTGAAACTCAATGTCCAGTGCTTAAAACAATGGACTGTAACAACTTTTCAATTCGCATTCAACCATGATCTTGTTAGAAAATATAGGTTCATTAAACACTGTTGGCCAAATTTCCCTCATACGGCAGTTTTGAGGGGGGAAATGGGAGGGAGACTATGCACCCTGAAGAGCTTTTGAAGTGAAAGACAGAATACAATTGCACTAAATCAATGATATTGGCTCATATTTACCACTACCTGGTTTATTTTATTTTATGTATTTATTATTCCAAGTTAACCAGATTCACAGATTTTTTTTTTGCAGTTCCAATGGCTGTGGTTAGAACACTTGATAAAATTTGATCAGTCAAATGGCTTAACCTAGCTAACCCACAGCTAAAATAAGAGAACTAGGTAAACAGACCCAAATATATGCATATATGAATAACATACAACTTAGATGAGATGTAGAATTTTCTTCTCTTCTGTAAGGGACTCAAATCAAAGGAAGTCTCTGTAAGTTTGACATATTCATGCATTTAAAAAAATGCTATGTTCACACCTCAGTCTTTTCTTTAATAAACACAATATTTTCTAACTGAAAAATCAACTCTACAGGACTAAAGATGTCTGCCTAAAGATCCAATAGCAGAAGAAAAATTAGCCCAGTTCTATTTCTATGTGAACAACTTTTAACAATTTCATCTCATCATCATCAATTTCCTAACCTGCTTCTGTCTTTTTGACTGCAAGCCTGAAAGGCAGAGCCTGTGTCTTATATTTTATACAGCAATCCACAGAATATAAACATATTAGGAATAACAATCCAATGGTTATATACTACTTTTTAAAATACCACCACTCCCTTTGTTTTTCTCATTTCAACTAATTTCACCAACCAAGTCATTATATTATGAACTACTTCTTTCTAAAATGGTTAGAAAAACCTCTTGGTAGAACTAGAGAGCAAACATTTGAATACCACCTACCTTGGTCATATCATGGGGGTCAGGCACAACAAACATTCCAGGAGGTGGCTCCTTATAAATTGACATGATGTCTCTGGGAAAGAAAAAACACAAATACATTTCTGTACTTCGCATCCCATTGTTGCAGAAAATGAGACAAGACCAGCTCTTTGTCAAAGGGAAAGGTTTATTTGCGCAAAGGTTCAGGAGCAAAACCTGAACCCCGAATGACAGTTGTGTACAGTCTTTTATACTCTTTGACAACTTATCGATCATCCCCAAATACCTGGCCTTCCTATGTCACGTAGACCCTTTTCCTGTGTCGTGTAGACCTCGTACACAATCTCCCAAAACAGAGACATGACATTCATTACTCATTTACCTCCCCACAGGGTACAAATTGGTGCAAATATCCTGTTTCATTTGTTTTAGTTAGGGGAAGCAAACAGAACAACTAATCTTAAGGGTAATCATTC